CCAGCCTCCACTTGCCTTGCATTGCCATGAGCCAGTCGGGACGTGCACTGAGAGTAACTACCGTGGGAGGCGACCACCCACCCGCGAACACCCGCGACCTGGTGGCTATGCTGACACATCAACTAACGTACCTGGCCCATCAAAAACCCGGAGTAGCGTACAGGTAGCGTACAGTAGCGTACATGTGAACGCTACATGTACGCTACTTTAGATAGGCCCGTTGGATTCGGAGTTCTATACGCGCTAGTTTGTGTCCTTCCGGCCTCTACCTGACCTTGGGGTCGCAAAAACACGACTTTGGCAGGTCACATTTGGCCAATCGGAAGAGGTTGATGTGAAGCTGACTGCAAGCGGCAGACCATCGCTACTGGAAATGCTTTCAACCAGCTTTAGGGCAGGTCACGCCTCACACAAGGAAAAATGACAAGCCACGTGGCAAAGCGCCGGGTTCGAAATTAACTATTCCTTTTCAAGCTTGCTCTCGCTTCAGCGCTTCAGCCTCCATAGTGGATGGGATCTCATCCAAGATGTCTTACACTTCGGATGAATATCTTCCGTCACCGAGTGCTGTTATACGGCAAAACGGATGCTTCACCATCATGTTCGTCAAGAAAACCCATCTTATGAAAAGTGATGGTCGCGTCGTGGATACAAAGTCATCGGAGTGGAGTATACAGTCCTCAGTTTTGCTGTGCGTCAATCTTTGGAAGTCCACTATTGACACTTCGGAGGTTCCATACTCATAGGCCCCAAGGCTCGTCATATTTAACTCAAGTCTTCATCAAGAATATTATTACTGGAGCGTACAAAGACTTGGACAACGCCCAACTCCTGCTCGGGAGATATTCGGACCTCAAGTTGTAAAACTCTGTTGATCATCACCATGATCATCTTCTCGGGTGAAACACTTCGATTATACAACAGTGAGTATATATCAGTTCTCGTTATAGAGACAGCACCACCTCGGAAGCTAAAGATTTCTCAGCTACGATGATCGGACGTTCACTTTGACATTTATTCTCGATAGTCTCATACATACCACTCCCCAGGCTTCGAGTCTCTCAACCCCCACATTTCCTTTTGAACCTTAGAGGTGGTATGATCTTCCAGTACTTCCTGTAAGTAGCAAACATTCGAGGTATACCAAAAACTGACAGAAATGACCTTCGCTAGCCTATGGATCTCGGCCTTCTTATGGTTACCACGAGTGGGATCATTCGAGCTGGATACACCCCTCCCAAGCACCGTCACTATTTCCCAACCATTTTCCTTCACTTGGTGTCGAGATAATTCCGACCAAGCCTCAGCATACCTCCAGTTTGGGGCATTCTACGGGAGTAATTCCTTGACAGGGCGGGTGTTCAACGCTGGTGAACGTAAGAAAGGCACATATACTATGACCCCGACGGTACCTGGGTAAAGGCTTCTTGTCTTCCACTTGACTAGTCATTCATCATTGGCGTCTGCGACAGCGAGTTCAGGCTGGACGGGTGGAGTGGGTACGCGGCAAACGGAGAAAACGCCCTGCAAATTGGTTTGCTCCCACATACAGTCGTCGTACAGACAGTTCAGGCCCAGATCCCCGCAGGCTATGAGGGTTCGCTCCCGTCACAAACACAATCGTCGAATTCGCAAGCAACGCAAACGGAGTCGCCAGCACAAACATCCACCGGCACTGGGAGTGGAAGCGAAGGATTCCAACCCACCTCCTCTCCATCCTCTGCACCC